TCATACACACATGTATAGATAGATACTATATATATTTCGTTGTCGCTTCACTGTTTGGCGCGTATGCGGCATTCGTATCCGTGCAAATGAATTCCAACACTTGCCATTTTAATTATTGTTTACTTTTCACTTTTTCTTGTGCATTTTTCGTTGCTGTTGTTGTTGTTGTTGTTGGTCGATAGTTTTCATTTTCGTTGTATATTTTATTTGTGCATGATAATTATGTGCCGAGTGAAGTACCAAGAAAACGCGCGCTCGCACACACCATGTAATATGATGTGAAGGAAAAATGCGCTGCGTCTGGCGTTTGCAATGAATATGAACCAATTCGATTTGGTGTGCATAGGTACGGCCATGGCGGCAGCAACAGCAGCAGCAGCAGCAGCAACATTGGCGGTGTGCATTCAGACAAAACATGTAGGTACAAGACTATGGCTCCATATTCGTAATCTATAACGCTCGGCCCCTAACATTTGCTAACATGCAATTTTCACACAAACGAGTACGAAAAAAATATGGAAATTGTGCATAATTACTTTACTACCAGAATAAAACTAGATCATTTCATCGGCGCACATATAAAAACTCTTTTTTTCATTTCATTTCACTATGCGCTCGCACTCAATTCACACACAATGATACAGTGCAGTGCTAGAGTGAGATAACGCGCAATAAATCTGCCGTTGAAATCATGCAACGGACAATGATTCAATTATACACCCAACAGAAAAAAACACTTTACAACAAGCAACAACACGATCTTCAATTGCCTCTTGCGCGTTCGCGTGAAGAAAAAAAAATCCGCTCACACATTTTTTTTTTATCTGTGTATTACTCGATGAGAAGAAACTCTACTAATCATACCGTCTTTCCAATGAACCACTCTTTTGAAAATTACTTGTACAAAACTGATGATTACTCTTGACGCATTAATTGCTTACGAAGCGATTTGTTTACCATTCAACAAAACAAAATCATTTCTTTCGAATAACTGCGCATTGAAAAATATAAACACTTTCCAGCTCAATATTAACTGTATATTTTTTTTTTCGTGTGTGTTGTTGTTCAACGAACGAATGCACGACTTGGACAATATGCCGTTTTGTGAGAGCGTTGTAAGTGCTAAGCACTTCGATTGCCATGGCAACCAAATAAACATAAACATTCTATTTATAAACACTGCGCTGCAAAAAAAAAGTGTCATGTCTAAATTATTGGAACTATTTTCGATGAACCAAAGTATGATACACAACTGTAAATGTGATCGACGAAGCACGTTCAAAACGGTAGTTTGTTTCACATGTACGCAGTGTTGTTCGATGAGGGGAGAGAATCGACCATTCGGTTGCAGCTGAATAGCGACCGTACAGAAATACATACACACACTAAATAATGCAGGTTCGGGTGTATTCACTGTTGTCGGGTGGGCAATAGACAGCATAAAAAATTAAGGATCGTCGTAAAAATAAAGACGATCGGAAACTCACATGATATTCCTTCTTTTCGGTTTGTTCTTTCGTCTACAGAAATTTTTCTTTTGCTCTTCTCGAACCGAATGGAATGAGATACTAGGCACCGAGCGCAAACAACATTCGTAGTTTGGAGTAATAAAACCCTAATTAAAGAAAGCGGAATGCAATACAAAGGACGACGTAAAAGTAAATAGAACATATAGGTAGACCAAAAAAACGAAACGCAAAACACACATGGATTTTTTTTCGAAAGAGAAAAAAGCATTCACGTGTGACTCAATGCAATATTCGGTGCTTCGACATTTCTCTAGCTGATAATGAACATCATTTTAGGTGATTGTCGGCTCAGTGTTCAGTGTTTCCAGTCATCTGATGGGAATATTTTCTACTTCGTTTTGAAGTTTCTTTCACCTCACATCGAGTATTTCTTTTTCTTCAGTTTTTTTTACTCCTCCATTTCCACTGGAGATTAGTTTGCACGTTCGAAGACTGTACAATTTTCAAGAAATGACGCCTAATTTTATCTAAACATTTGTTCCTAATTCAAGTAAAATTACACAAGTGTTCGCACACCAATCGCTCATTTACAGCGCCAAGGGAAATTTGCTGTTCTTCTGCTCTAGCGAATCCAAGAAAAGAAACATGTTTATAATGTAATATTCGTATCGTTAACGAAGCGATTCAAACAGCAAATACAATCGGCATTATTCACGACTTTCCTGCTAGTTTTCTCCATAAACTTCAAAATGTAGGTAAACAATGTTGTTGTTGTGTGTTTTTTTTCGCTTTTCGTCTTCTTCGATTGAATCACCCAATCACCTATTTTATACATTGAACATTGAGCGGCGCGTTAGCGTTGTTGAACAAAAAATTCGCGTACCATTTGCACACGAACACATGTGTGCATGAATGTGAATTCTTGAGCTCAGTCGATGGCTTATTTGGTTGGGTCAGTGTCTTTGTTCGTTTGTTCGTGTTGCGAATGGAACGTACCGAAGAGCGAGTGTCTCTAATAATAATCGAAGAGTGAGTAAGCGCGAGCGATCAACAACAACAGCAGTGGCAGCACAAATGTTCATGCATTTGGTGTGTCGTCATTGGCCGTGCGCGTTTGTGCATTTATAAGCGCCATAAATAAAATCAACTATTTAATGGTAATTCAATAAATGTTGTCGTGCTCGTTTTTGTATGGAAATATGAAGTAAGCGAGAGAGAGAAAGATGGAATGGAGCAAAAGAATTCGAATGGATTACGGGGCAGCTCGGCGCGCAATGAGTTATTGTATGTGTGCAACAAATTCCAAAACCAATACGATGACGGATTTTAATGTAACACACATGCCGTGTGCGCTCGCACATCGTACACGTGAACACAGAGAGTTTAACTGAAAAATTCAATTCGAAAAACGAAACGAGAAAAAAATACATGCGAGATGAGAGTGCCGCAGGAACAAACAGCAACAAACACATACAGAGAGTGCGACAGGGACGACGGGATATAGCCACACAGAGTAGAGAGAAGGGAAAAAAAATCAACCATGACTTGAAAATTAAGTAGTGGCGACGAATGAAGCGAAGAAACAAGAAAATATGTCCATACAAAAACCGAATGTAACGTGTGAATACGTATGGAAAAAACACAAAACCGAACAACGAACGTTCGAACGTCCGTCCGACCGACCAAAAAAAAACAACACACACACACACACACAAACTCAGTCGCTCGAACGAATCACACACTCAAAACTGAAAACAAACGGCCACAACGAACCACCTGCATATTACTCATTCGCCGATTCTCATTCTCATTCATAACCACATTTCATATTACACGCATTACATGTTTTTTTTATAGAGACTGAGCGAGAAATTTGTCTTTTGTGCCACAACATTTTTTGTCTGTCTTCTTCGGTTGTTGTGAATGTATTTATTACTTTTTTTTTTTATTAGCCACTGAATTGTCCGACGATCGCGTTTTTATTTGTGAAAACACTGAAAAAAAACGCAAGCAGCGAGAGGGAGATAGAATAGTTGTGTTTGTTGTTGGTGTTGCTGCTAGTTTTTGCGAATGGCAACAGCAACAGCAGCCGCTACAACCTTCAATTATTCGCGTTGTATCGCATATGATCAGAGGACAATTGTCATTTGTTTTCATGTTCACAGTGGCAAAATTCTATCGGTTCCGTCGATAATCACCGCAATCATCTGCGATTATTATGAAACCGATTTAATGATGGAATTTTTATTTTTTCGACTGTCTTCTCTCCACACATTCAACATTCACCAAACAATTTGACAACGATGATGATTTTAGCCGCGAGTCTTATTTTGTTGTTGTCGTCATTTGTTTGACATTAATTTTATTTATTCATATAAATCGAAGCATCATGATATAAAAACAAGACTCGAAAATTTCTCTAGAAATAAAGTTCGATAATTTGAATAATCTGAAACAAGTTTATCAACCATCCGCCGAGACTGAATCACTTTTCACCGATTATTATCGTGGAATGCTGCTGCTGTTGCTGTTTTGTTATTACGGCTTTGACCACGATCACACGAAATCGATGCCATTTTTCTTTGACACAACCACAACAGTACAGCATGAAAATCACAGCAATTCATTGACTACCTTCTGATTTGTGGCAAATTCACCCAAACACGCACATTCAATTTGTAAATTATAATTTGATTCAGTTGCACTTACACAATGTTGTTGTTTTTTTTGTGTCTCTTGTTTGTTGCCCGACTAAAGACGCCACTAAACAACACTTTTGCCGTAGCACACAAAATAAAGAAATATTTCTGTACACAAAACTTATGAACAAATCGAATTTAATGCTTCGATTTTGTCTTTCTCCAAATTTTCAGAGATGGATGTTTTTATTCCATGTTTATGTTTGGCATTTGTTTTTGTACCTCGATTGGTTTTTCACCGTCCGCTTGAGATTTTGTTTTTTTCTTCCCTTCTACTTCGTTTGTTTTGTGGTCGTCTGCACAACGCACGACGATCGTGTCAACTAGCTTACGGATACTGGTTCAAAAAATGTTGTTGAAATTCTTCGAAACGTTTTAGTCGCGTTTTCGATTCAAACACACAGCGAAAACGTACACGGTTTCTGTCTGTGTATTGGTTACTGTGCTTCGTTCGGTACTGTGTGCAGCGCTTGTTTTTAACGAATTTTTCGTGTTCGTTTGTATTTGATGCTATCGCATTCGCACACACCATCTGCTCGGTATGGCGTTGCTGCTTGTGCTTCCAGTTGAACAATGACACATTCACCACTATCACACACACACACTCACACCACATGGATAACCATCACGAGAATCGAAATTCAAATGTAAACGAACATACCGTTCGTTGTATTTGTTTGGTTACATCGAATGGTGTGGCGCTGCCAGCGCTCAGGTGTACATTTTGAATTTCAAACGAAAACAATTGTAGCTACAAATGTCTCCTCTATACGACGCAAGGAGGCGTTTGTGTGTTTTGAATAGATTTTAATAAACAATGAACAATTTCGGATTTGGTTTATATTTGAAATCGAATTTTAAAGCACATTTATTAAATGAATCATTTTTTTTTACATCCAGAATTCGGACCGTGCAATATATTTGCACAAAAATATCACGCGTTGGTCTCCACAAAATTGTTGGCATTTTTCTGTTTCTTTTTCAGCTTTTTGAATTTTTTGCTCTTGTCCAAATTCTCCTGGAAGAAGGCAGTCTCTTTGCGAGCTTGTGAAATTTCAGTCTGTAGTTTCTGACGGTGAACGGCTTTTTCGTATGTCAGACGTTCGCTCAAGTGCACCCATTTGAATCGCGGCAAATATTTCATTATCCAAAATTGATCGAAGAATTTCGAACTTTTCCGTGTGGCGATGGGTGTGTTGTTGAGCATTTGAGCGACTCGTTTTGCAGCACGTTTGCTCTCGAATTCAACCCAACCTTCGGTGAAGTGACGGGCCAAGCGACGCTTTTTCTTTTTGCGATTTTCTTCTTCCGCTGAAAGGTACAAGTGATATTGGATGTAGAATTAGTACGTAATCTTCATATGTCTAAACCAAAAGTTGCAACTAACCTGATAATTTCCCCGGCTGAAGGAATATCCGACCGAGTTTCGCATACTGACCGAGTAGTTCACGCATAATCGTTACATTCATAAACTTTGGAATTGATGATATATAAATAATGCCACGTTTTTTCTTCTTTTCCGATTGTTCACTCGTTCCTGATCCACTTGGGCCAGCTTCTTTATCGTTTTCGCTCGTATTTTCCTCTTCATCAGTCCCCATTTCTTGCTGCTCGTCCAAATTTCCATCGGATTCCGAATCTGAACTACTCGCTTCTATTTCTTCTCGTTTCTTTTGCATTTTTGCTTTCACTTTCATATAAATTTAATAAACAAAAAAGAAAACTCCTAGAATAAAAGCTACTTGTGTTGTTGTTTTGATATTATTTAACTCATGTGGTTGAGAGCTAGCATTTAAGGTTATGATAACGTTTGAACTGTCAAATGCTCCGGCTATTCAACACAAACGTCAGTCATGGTGAAATTCAGCTCTATTCGGAATAAACCGCTAAGTTTGAGCAAATTTGCATTGCTGGTGTTTACGTTCTATGAACTTATTGAACAGTTTGTTCTCGATTGTGGTCAAGTGCAATACAAAATGAGTTTCGATACTGGACTCGCTTCGCAAAGTTCACAAAATTCACAGAGTTCATTTGGTTTGGGTGATTACGATTTGCTCGATATTGATCAACCACCAACATGCAGCTCATTCAGTTTTCCGTTACCCAAGGCCAGATATCCGAGTCAATTGATTCTGCCGAAGAAACAATCAAACAGCGATATTGATAGTGGTTTTGATTTTACATCAAGTGCATCGACCGAAACACGGAAATCTCAGGCAAGTGTTCAGTTATTGGCGTCTCAAAGGGTGGTTTCGAGACAAAAAGACACAGTTTCGATCAGCGACGATTCATTCAATTCGAATGACACGGAAACAGACAGTGAATTGGAGAGACATGCACAAAGTCAAGGCGATGGACAACGTCATGAATGGAGCAATTCAAGTGGTTCACAAGAGGCTGATTATGGAGAGTGTTACGATGAGGAAATGCCATTGTCTGGTGTCACTACGGCTGAAGAAGAGGAAAATCGCGAACAGTCACAACAACTCAGTGATATGCCCAATTTCATTCTGCCCGAATTCGATTCGATCTTGAAGCTGTACTCAAAAATCAAATCACAGTACTCAGACTGTGCATTCGTTTATGCTCTCGCTTCGAATATGTGCAAAGACCTCTATCCAAAGAACAGTTACATTTCACTCAAAACAGCACTTTTGCTGAGCATCGTCTCATGCGACGTAAGTTTAGATGGATTTCATTCGTTTGTTTGTTATGTGTTTTCATTTTTTTTTGGATGATTCAGTTGTTATTCATTTTGCGCCGGGTTATTTTTTGTCATTTCAACACCTGTTTGAGTCAAAAACATTGGCATTTGTTTTTGAATATTCTTGTCGAGTAGTCAATAGAAGCTATTCATTTGAAAATTGTATTGAAAATGAAGAATCTGAAAGAAAATTCCCTCTTTTCTCCTTCAGGTTCGAAGCGATGCGCAGCCGATTTCAATCATGGCTATAACACGTGATTCGGAAATCGCTTCGTCAGTCATGAGACGGATTGGCGACATTTCGAGGAGGTACTGGAATTCATAATATTTTTTAATTGTATTTTCTCTCCATAATCCGATCAAATATTAGCACTTTCTTGTCTTGTTCAACAAATACAATAGCAATCGTATCGCTTGTTTTCTGTTTGCAGATTTATTTGCATAAACGACGATTTGAAATTCAACGGCAAATGTTCGCATACCAAAACTATTGATTCAAACTCATTGCTAATGGCACGTAATGGCGTCTGTTTTATTGGAGATTGGCTAGGATTGAAACCGGCATCATTGAATTATTTGCAAAACGGTACTTTATTGCTCTCATTTAGCGTCACTCTGCTGGTGTTGTTTTATGAGTGATGCGATAAGGGCGCAACGACATCGTTTGTATTGTAGCGGGCCTGTTATATTCCGTCTACAGTATTTATGAAGTTTGTTTGTTTTAAATGTTTCTTTCTCTTTCTCTCTTTCTCTCTTTCTGCATTTACAGTGATGGATAGTAGTCGAGTGACAGCCGATTCCACGTCGAACATTGCATACGCATTGAAATGTGCCATTTGGATGTATTGGTCGTGCTCAGCAAAAAAGATGAGCCAAAATCAAAAGGACTTGACCAGCATTTCAAAGTAAGAGAATGAAATGTTTGAATGATGGCTATTTCCCTTTTAATCATTTTTAAATGTTGACAAATTAGCATCTTTAATGAGGAGATTGAAGGAATTTTTAACTGTTTTTATTCTTTGATACAGGCTGTTTGGAATCCCTGTTGTGTTGGATGAAACACCCAGTCAAGAAGTGATCGACTTTCTCTTTGCACAGTGTGCCATAAACCAAACGGATAAGCAGAACGATGTGGGCGACAACATTGATGAAAATACAATCAAAGCCTATTTGAACTTTGTCTCCAGAATTCCAACACAATTCGACGTTGAAGCATTGTCAATGCTGAAATTCTATTTCATCATTACGCGATCCATACGACCGAGTGAGTTTATTTATAAATTGTTTGGCATTTAAAAGTCTTTTTTTGTTTAAAATCTTTTTTCTTATATTAACATGTTTTCTGTGTTCACGTTTGTTGTTGTCCATTTTTCGTAAATTTTTTTGCTACGTTTTTTTTGTAGCACAAATTTCATAAATATTATCATGACTTCGTATAAATTATAATTATCACATTTTTGTTTCAAGATATTTTAACACCAACGAGTTTTGACATTCTTCAGCGATTGAGTGAGTGCCATGCAAAATTGTGCCTGCGAACAGAGGTTCTGAAGTAAGTCGTCAAGTTTTTGCTATTCTATCTCATTAGAACCTTTGGTTTGTTCATTTCCATAATTTATAACTTCATTCTTTTACTGTCAATTTATCAAAATGCATGATTTACGATTGATGAAGTGTCATTTCATTGAAAAGTAACATTTCTTTTGAAATCAATAGGATCGATGTGACGTACGCGATTGAATTGTTCGAGGAGTTTGTGCTCAGTGTGTTTGCAGGTCAAGTGATAACCAAACCAATGCCAAACCTTATGCCGAGCACCTACGAACAGGTGAGCACCATTCACATTGCTTCCATTTTCATGATTGACTCATCGAATCGTTTATTTACACACCAGGTTGATGACAATATGCGGAAATTTGTACAATGGTTGGACGGCTATATGTCGAAAATCAATGAAAATGTGCACACATTCTTCCAAGAAAGGCTTTGATCCATAGAAATGAGTAACTCGCCTCGCACGTAATCGTTCCTAATCACATCCACTTGACACATTCATGGCAGGCCAATGAAAACGATAATTTTTCCTTTCAATAAACTACTACGGCTCTCACGTGTGTTCAAGTATCAGTTGTAATCGACATTCAAATCGGTCATTATTTCTTGTTTACGATTATTATGTCAACAAAATGCGTTGAAATCTTTATGTTGCCATTGTTGCCTTATTATATGTAACAATATCTGATTTTGTAAACAAGCTGTTGAACAATTTCAACAAACGTTTTTTTTTATCGAATTGTTTGACATTTTAAATCGAACATATCAATTGGTTTATCAGTTCCATGGATTTTAATTCGATCAACACACACTTGAGAGTTAGCATAAGAGCGCATTTAGGTTAGGCGGTACTTAAATAATGTTTATTTGAACAAGAGTACAAAGAACAAATCTCATTTTGTCTTAAATCTATTTTCCACGAGTTTTTTTTTAGATGTAATTATTTTATAAAAAAAATTTAGTTGCTTTCACATAATGAGCATAGTATATCTAAGGACTAATAAATGCCACAAAATCAAAAATTAAGAATAAATAAAATGATTGGTTTAACTTAAAGATAATCCACCATTGCTTTGATCATTTCGTATGTCTCAAGACCGGTAGTGTCTATGTATGATGGCGATAGTAAGAAACCTTGTGTCCCAGTATCTCGTAGTTCAATTGTATAGCTGTATTTTATTCCTATTTTGTGCATCGCATAGTCGGCGGACGAGCCAGACTTCAAGCTGCTCATTTCGTTGGTGTTGTCCACTGTGTATCGTCCCGATGATGCAAAATCACGCAACGAATTCACTGCCACCTCAGCCATATCTCGCAAATCGTTTGACCGCTGCGATGCATCAAACGTCGAATTTGACGCTGATGGATACGTTATGTATTGACCGTACGAATGCAATGACACAAATAGCTGGGAAAATGTCGAAAGGTATTGTGATTATAGAAGATCGAAATAATGCAATAAAACTGAACTGATGCAATGAGACATATCGTAAAAATTCCGTTGGAACTAACAATAAATAGCGTTTTATGAAACAACATATCGTAACTACATGGTCAAAAACTAAAATAGCAAATAAATGAATTATTCTGAACATAACTCACATTGATCTCTTTTTTGTTTTCCTCTAAAAATGATGCAAGTGCTTTTGTTTCCGGTTCAGACAGTGGTTTTGGCCCCTCATAAAATTCGCTGCAAGCCGAATAGCTTCCATACTTTTGCCAATCGATATTATAATTTCTCTCTGGATCAGTGCCATAGCAATCGGGCGCCGTAGCGGTTGAATCACGTTTTAACCATTTCAATCTATTTACGGGCATGATTATCGGATAATTTCGTTTTTGTATCGAGTTTAACGAAATGAAATTGATGAAGGTCAGTTTAAATTGCATTGCTTACGCTAAATTTAGCACAGATCCAGCTTCAGGGAGTTTTGAACGTGTTTTTTGCCACATACGATCGTAGTTTAAACTATACTCATACCCATCTGGATTTGATACAGGCCTGTGATACAATATCGATAATTTTAGCAATAATCATGGAAAAAATACAAAAAATGAACGTACATTATATACCAGTCTACCGAACGAAGAATTTCCTTTTCCGTGTTGCCATCTATTGTTTTTGGTTTGATTTAGAAAAATTATTTAGAAATGGAAAAGAGTAAAGATGGAAAGACATTTTATCACCTTCAGTATTATTGAATTTAACCAACTCCCTTATGATCCATGTTGCAACTGCCGGTGTAATCCATTCACGACCATGCACTCCAGCTTCAATGAAAACTCCTGGTCGCATCACTTTCTTCTTTCGTCGTGATTTTAACGTTGGTTTGTTCTTTTTCGAATTCTTTGCAATCATCTCCGACTCGGTGGGATCAAATGAAATCTGAAAATGTTTCCGTTTTTTATTCTATCTCGGATTAGAGTCCATTATAGTTTAACTTTTTTCTTTCACTTGTTCATATGTGTTTTTATTATAATAAAATATTTTGATCCATTCAATCCGACATTGTTTGATATTACCTTCGCCACCATGAGTGGTCTACCTTCAAACGATCGTCCGATATGAATCAATTCAACCAGATCTGGGTATGTCAATTGCAAATAATCCAAATAAATGGCAATGTCTTCGAAATTGTGATAGCGATACCAAGTCATCGGATGCCCTTGTTCTTTTTCCAATTCGATTTTCTGCCGTCGTGACATGATTGGATTCTCGTATTTGATTGCTTTTTCCAAATCCCAAACGACCACTTCAAATGGAATCGATTCGTATTCAAGTATTTCCTGTACGTCTTTATTCATTTCGGGTGGAACGAGAATATCATTTGGGCCTCTGAAAATGATGAAAAATTACTTTTTTCTGTCAATATTCTTGAGCAAAAGTGAAAAGAAAACCAAATCAAATTTTGAAGAGAGAGTTGAATAAAAATGAAATGCTAACTAAATAACCTCATTGCGGGCCCTTTCAACCATAACACGTTTTGGCTTTCGTCGGATTCTTTGTATTCGCGTAAAAACTCCAATTGAGCGTGCGTCGAAGGAACGATACGCCAAATTTGATAGTCATCATACTTCACACGCTTCAATGCACTGGTACGATTCATAGTAGACACTGTCGGTGACTGCATCGTAGCCATATGCGCCGTTAGCATTTCAAACCATTTCTTAGCGTCCAACGTGCTCGACGTTTTCTCCGTTGTCGCTTCAACCGTTTCTGCTTTGGCTGTGGTCGTGGTCGCTGATTCACCTTTTGAAAATAGATTCAAAAGCCAACCTGCGAAACAAGACACATTTATAAAGCCAATAAAATTGCACGAGAAAAATAGAAAGAATTCTAAGAATTTCGAATTCATTGACTGAAAATTCTTTGAATCGTGATTACCTTGTTCGGCTTGCGTTGGTTGGACGGTAGCAGTTTCTGTGGTCACTTCTGCGCTGCCGCCCAGCCAACTAAAAAATCCTGACTCCGTGGTCACTTTAACTTTTGGTATTGTATCTGTGGCTGATGTTGTTGTGTCTTCGCCATCGTCCGAGCCGTAGAAAAACTTATCGAACCAGCGATTATTATTTTTTTCTTGAACGTGAACTTTGTTCGGATATTTGGAATAGAGTGGATGTTTCAACTTCGGTTCCCTTTTTTTCGACGCATCGTCTTCTTCGTCTTCGTCATCGTCATCATCATCGGATGGTCCGAATAATGAAAAGCCAGGCACATAATCGGTTATTGTATCGTAGGTTTTTTGGAAATAATTTCCCATGTTTGACATTGTTAAGCCACTTGAACTGTCTTCGTCTGACTCAGAGTCGGAATTAGCCTTTCGTCGTTTTGTATTTTTTTGCTTTTTATTCGATCGGTAATTGAGTTTATTCGGAGGCGGCTTGACATAAACATCTTCATCACTCTCGTCATCGTCATCGTCGTCGTAATCCTACAAATTTAAACACATTTCAGTTTTGAAAAACAAAATCCAATTTTTTTTTCGAAATAATCAATTTAAAGATGTCATTTGCGACTCTTTGAAAAATGATCAAACTTGCACTAAACTGAAAAAAAAAACAAAATTAAAATGGAAACAAAATAAAATTGTATCACCATTTTTCAAGAGATCACATAAAATCTTTTTTATATAGAGGAAAAAAACTCAGTCATCAAAATGGACGCTTTGTAACTCATAAAATGTTTGATTACGTTATTTTCCGCTTCTTTCAGAGCGGATGCTTTTTGAAATGACAGTTTCTTTTGATTTACGATGACAACAACAGTAATTTGTTTCATTCGTCCTTCAGTTCTTTTCGTTTTACTGTTTTCCATTCACATTCACTCGTGCAATAAACTTGCACATTGCACACTTACATCATCTGCCCCGGCGCTGCCTAAAGAGCCTAAAGCGAAGTTATAATAATCGTCATCATCATCGTCTTCGTCGTCTCGATCATCGTCATCGTCATCATCATAATCATCGCTTTCAGAACTTCCATAATCTTCGCTGTCCAATGCTTCACTATCTCCTTTATTGCTTTGTTGTTTGGGTGGTTCAGTTATCGGATCTTTTTGGCCAATGTATTCACTTGTCACATGAATGTTAGTGGATAATTTTTGTCCATTGTTAAAACTTTGCTTATATCGATAATTTGGTGGTTTGGTTGGTGCTTTGATGGAATAGCGAAGGGTGCTTCGTTTGATGGGGCGTTTCTTCACAGTCTGTCGTGATTTCGCCCTTACTTTTGTTGTCATTGCATCTTCAAAGTAATTGTACACATTTTCAAGTGTATTGGAAATTTCACCAACAAGTGGCGGATCAACGTAAACGATGCGTGGCTTCGACGTTGTTGTAACTTTCACCGATTTTTTAGTGGGGACATAATAAACTATACCGTTTTTCACGTATGTGAGTCGTGTCGGAGCTTTTGTCGTAACCGTTTGTTGATTGAACGCTGCATTCAGATAGTTTGGATATTGAAGTTTCTTCAATGATGATGGGTATTGTGATGTTGGCAGTTTTAACGTCGAAGCCATATCTTTCAAACCGCAATCAAGCACAAATTGCACTTTCATTTCTTTCGAGTCTTTTTGATGATCATTTACCCCATGTTCAATATCCGGATATCTTATCCGAGGCTCTATGGCTCCGAGAGAATGAGTGGATTTTCGCACATCACTTCGTGATGTATTGAACACATTGACCCTCGACAATGAGCCAGTTCGATTCAGTTTGTGTATGATTTGATCAATCTTATGTCTATCGCTGTTTTTTTGTTGCAAAATATTTTCAATGCCAAGAAAACTGTTTATTCGCTGCGGCCGCTTCGATTGTTTTACGGTTTGTGGATTGAACACTGGCACGCGCGTTGAATGTACGTGATAATTGAAGTTTTTGTAGCTTTGTGGTTGAAAATCTTTGATTGTCACGAGTAAATTTCCAGGTGTTGAGGGTCGTTTTGTTGTCGTCGTTCGGATCAGTGCCTGCGGAGAAAAATCAGATGAAACGCATCAATGTAAAAGAGGCCATTGTGAACAGACTCTGAAGAGCATTTATTGACAAAAACAAAAGTGAATCCTCATTTGACCGTGTTCGACTCAGTCGATCGATTTTAATTCGTCAAATTTGAAGGAGACCATCAATTTTTGGACGTTCCACCAAATTTTAATGGATGTTTAACATCGAATTTTGTTTTGTTTAACATCTTTTTTTATCGTACAACTTCAAGATTGCGATTTGCAATGCAATCTTTTGTTCAAAATCGGGTTGTGTGTGGAAATTTCTATGCTTTGTTCATTTTCATTGGTTAATACTTGACAAACACTTTGCTTGAACTACTTCAATCGTGTCGACGTAATTAAATACGTCGAATAAATACACACTCAATCAAATATACTTCACACTTCTTCAATTCAAGGATTTTAATCGAACAAAATCACGCCATTTACACCGAAATTACGCGAGGCAAAAAATTCCATTTCTCTTTTGTCGTATGTGTCCTTCCTCTTTAGATGCTTTCACGATAAAATAATCACCTGGGAGGTAGATGATGACATGAGTTTCGTCGCTAGCGATGAGTAAATTGGTTGCGATTTCACATTATGAGTGCCACTTGAATCGTCAATTTTTTGATTATTGATTATCACACCGCGATTTCCTTGCGCATTCACCCCGATCAATCGCATCCAAAGCAATAAGGTGGAAAAGTAAATGAAATAAAGCACTACATTCCAAAGGGATTGTTTGATTAAATCTAATGACGAAAGTTTTGTGATTAATCGAAGTAACATTTTTGAAGATTTTATCGGCCAAAAAACGATTTGGTTGGACAAAGAAATGTAAAAAAATGGTATTTAAAGAGACGAGAGCATATTTGCTCTGAACGGAATCACTTCACAACTGCAAATGACTGGAAGTTTGTCAACTGTGGATTCAGTTAGCTCAAACCGTATGAATATTAATATATTAAGAATTCTAAGTTTTGCTACTTAAAGAGACATTTGTGTGGCGGTGAACAATCAAGCGATTGATCCGAGCATAACTAATTACATATGGGAGCGATGCGATGGCAGAATAGCAAACTGGCTCTGCACACGCTGTCTCAGAACCATAGGCAAATCGAAAGAGCGCTGGTAACAATGTAGTTTGCTGTTGAAAGTTGACGTACTTGCATGGTAAATAGGGCTTGAAAAAAAAAACAGACGGCCAACATTTGCAACTAACCGTGTGGTAAAATATCAACAGTAGCAACAACAAAACGACATTAATGTCATCGTCATATTTTCAATCGATAAACAATTTTTATACAATTTTCCATTACTTATGATATGTGTCAATGCCAAAAATTTACTGCTGATGGAAAAAAAAATGTTTGCTCAGGAAATAAAGAAATTCACGTGAAATTTCGCGATGATGACGAGGATCTAATCAGTGATTCGAGTGATTTTTACTTAAGAAAAAATTCGATTGACGTAAAAGTGACGATTGTTGATTTACGTTTTAATTTGTTTTCAACCGAACGAATATCATTTGTCGATCATTGTCTTTATCAAATCGAAAATTGACGGACACAATCATTGATAATGAAAGCGGCGAAGGTTGATCCTGAAGAAATCCGCAAGGAGTCATGGCTACAGCGATCGGTCGAGAGGTAGAACGCTTCGCGAATCAAACTAAATTACTGGCTAATTTGGCGATAGCACCGAATGACCGGAACCAAAACATACTGCTGTCAATGGACTGGATTTATCAATGTCGATGAAGGAAGGCCTATCGTTCGTTTGTCAAGTACAGAAATGCTTTCGCACGCTTTCTATCAGTTCGAAGAGTTTTGATTGAGAACATCTTAATCCGCCCGACATTATGGCACTTGAGTGACGGCTTTCGATTTTTTTTTCGCCGATCGAACTGACCCCAGCTCATGTCTATAGGTCAGACGTAATGCAATGGTTTATTAGCTAAAATGAGAAATCCAAATCCGGTTAAGAATTAATAGGAATGATATTTTGATCTTTTGAGCTTTTATTTATATTCCATGTGCACATTTCGAGTCTGTGTATGTTTTTTGCTCATGAAGAAATGAAATGAAAAATGCTAAACAGAGCATGAAGATGAAATTAAGTGGGCATGTATTTTACGATTCCACGTTTCTGAAATCGAAACGCTCTCGCGGTGAAGATAAACAATTCACAAATTGGAATGCCGTGAAATTTTCGAACGTTTGTCTGAGTGTGCCCCACATTCTTAGTCATTTTATTTGGCAATTTGACAAGAAATTGTGATAAGCCACGTTTTATGTAACCATTTTCTATGTTTTCCGCTTTCATGTCGATTTACAAATTGTCAATTGTGCATATTTGGATGTCATAAATTTCATACTTTTTTCAGCTTGTTCCTTTTCTCTTTTTCACTATTTCTCATTCATGAGCACGAGACCTGAGCAAAATCACTTGCGATTGCGATTCGATCAATTGTATTCGTGTCTCTTCTCAAGGGCCAAAACATTTCCATCAGCTTTACATCAAACACTCACAATGTTTATATTATTGTTACTCATCACACACTATTTCAATTGGTCATTGCATTGCGTCAAATCCGGCCAAAAACAATGGGCAACCTCAATCGAACGGTCGTTATCAATTCGAAAGTTTTTGATTTATGACGAACATTTGGCGAAGCGACGTCTTATCGCCTGATCTGTAATCAATTGAGCTGCTCAATGACGTTGGCGCAAGTCACTTAATCCAAATCCGGTATCAATTGATCACCAATGTAAAGTGGAATTGAGTGTCTGGAAATTTACATCACATTCCTCAAAAATTTATTCTACCAAATGAGCCTTCGATTCCTCAATTGAACAGTAGCTTCGTACTCCATATTGTCCGCATCTGTGTGACATGCACCCAAAAATACCGAGCCATGAGCCACGAAAAAACCGCTCCAAACCAAAATGCGAGTATAACAAACAAATTGAGTGATGGGTAATATAACAATAAATAATACAATCATTTTTAATGACGGCGTTAAATTATAATGATTGTTGCAATTTCAGCAGCGAAAAACCATAACAAGCCCGCAATTATCTACGCGTATATGACAAAAGCGTGTCTGAAATTCACTAATGCTTTCGGCGAAAAACGGTTAAAATCAAACTAATTGTTTATTGCTTGAATGAACTAATTCGCAGAATGAATTTTTGTGATATTCAGAGATTATGAGACTTTGATTGTGGCTCTCATACGCTCGTATTGAGAAAAGCCGTGATTTAAAATGTGGTTTTTCCCAGACTGACAGGCATTTTCAATACGTTCATTGTACGGGGGAATTTATTTCATTCAATTGAGAATTCGTCGTTGTTGCCACCAGTAGAAATTTCCAGTTCTGCATACACGTCTCTAATCATACACGCTCTTTTTTTCTGTGCGTGACACATACACTCACAATTTTTATTGACTGATGAATGCGCGAAATGCTGCAAACAACAGATAAAAAAAACAACCCTCTCTCTTTCTCTTACTTATGCGAATGATAAACCATCTCCAAAAAAACGGAATAACAAGTAAAAGTTTGTTTTGAATGTAATAATTGGAACGAAGTTGTTATCATCACTTTGGTTACCTATATTTGGTCTCCAACATGTCTCGGTTTAATCAAACATTGGAATTTTCTGCAGAAGTCTAATAAAAGCAACGAGTTTTTTTTTCTGGCTAGCAATTGATTCATTTGAACATTTTCGGAACACTTTCAAGATGTACGTTTTAAAGATGAATTCTCTGGAAAATTCTCAAACATCGATATAAGAAGCAATACCTCGAAATGCTCTCGTTTAATATAAAAAGTAATAATTGATTTCACATGTCGAAGACCACTTCGTTTTTGTGTTTATCAGTAGTAGCTGTTGGTGCTTCTGATGCGTATTTGTTTTGTTCGATATTTGTCATGGATTCAATTCCGCACCTGCTATTGCGTTGATTCCGATCACGAACGAAGTGAAAAAAAACACCATTTGCTACAATTTTCAACAACAAATTGAAATTCTGAGCATTTTTCGATGATTTCACCGCTTTTCTAATTCAAAACATTTGCCATTTTTGATGGGCCTGGGATTTACCGGCGAAAAAAAAACGCTTAAGATTTTTACGATCAACTTTATCTCATCATTTGCTTTCTGGTCCCGGAGCCATTTAGCATATAGAACGGTATCGTTTATTGTCACTTGTCTTGCTTTGCACAGGCCGTAGTGCATGGCATAAGGCGGATAAATTTTGTATTTGTTTCAAACATGCGTTTTCCGATGGCTGAGCATCTCAGCATTTCGTATGCTGCGGATATATCGGAGCATATCGACGACGCATACTGTATATTCAAGTGGCGTGCACTGCTACGCAGGGACTCGACCACGCCACTGTATTATACAGTATGCGTCTTCAATATGCTCGGATTAATCTGCAGCATACGTAATGCTGAGATGCTCAGCCATCGGAAAACGCATGTTTGATTTGTTTTTCGTGCAGAAGACAAATAGTCGTAAAATGCGAAAAAAGCGACTAGTGTCTATTATGTGATGTACGAGATGCCAATTGAATGGTGTGCCGTAGTGGAAAAGAACTTGAGCTTGTCTTTGAAAGCAATTAAAAAAATGCCGAATAAATGAAAAAGTTTATAGCAACAATGCGCACGAGCACGGTGATGAAACAAAATTGACACACAATCAGACACATAAACAATACGCAGCCAAAAGCCATGCTTAAATATTTACACGTGATTATATTGAGATTAGGTGGATTTTCTTCTTCAAACTGAAATGAGAGAATAAAATATGAAGCCATAAATATGAAATGTTAACAACAGCCACATAACATATGTCGATCTCGTGAAAATATGCCTTGCAATGGATCTGCAATTTTGAAAGACTTCTTAGGAATGGAGTGAAAGAAAAAAAATCGGAAATAAGGAGAACAACAAAAAAACGTTCGAGTCATTGTTAGCATTCATGTCGAAAATGCAATTAGTTGACCGATTAGTTGAATCACTTGACGTTTTGGTTGTTGTAGGATTTGATTGCTTCTCAAAAGAGATGTTTATGTGAAAATGCGCAGAAATAAATATCAACTATGTGTGAAAAAGTGACAAATTGATCATCGAATAATCATTCAAATTAAATACAGACACTTCGAGTAATTGAAAATAGAATCCGGCAAAAAATGACCATAAATGGATAGAATAACGGATAGATTCATAATTAAATCCACCTTTTGTTATTGCTATTGTTCGTGCAGAAAAACAAATGTACGAAACAGAAAAGAAAGAATAAGAAAAACAGAGGTATGCGCATTGTGTGCGCGTGTCACTCAACCGAAATAGAATAGTTCGTCCATAAATATTAATACGCTGGAGTTGCGCCTCATAAATAGATTGGGTTGACAAAATGTGTGACAAATCGCCAAATTATGCAAATAAAATGTTGCTCGTATTTGCAAAGAGGTACTTTTCCACTCCAACTTTTTTCAATTCCAAAGAATGTCAACGTATACTGCATGAATCGCCGTAATTAGATAAAAAAATAGAGCCAGAAACATTCCAATTATTTTCCATTCCTTCCGTACTTGCGATCAGCAGCAAAAACAGTGCGAGATTAGAATCTAACACCGCAACGTGAGCACGACACGTTCAGTCGCATTGTGGCCGTTTTATCGATGAACAAAAAAACCCAATTCAAACACACACACACACACATTATGTTTTCTGTGTGGAATCACAGACCCATAAAAACTATTTGTCTGATGTTTGATGCGAAAAAAAAAACGTGGCGTCCAACAACAAAAACTACGAATAATTTGAACGAATCATAAAAGAATGTAAACATTCAAATATCGACATTATCATCTGATGTTTATACACAAAAATCTGTGTGAGTATGCGCACATGGATGGCTCGTGAACACGTTTATTTGCACCGCATACAATTTTTGTGTCTGCATACAACAATGTTTAGTTCAAAGCACCGACACACTTCTAAGTACATGTGTCACAGACGAGCAGCGCATTTTTTCTGCTCTCACTCTTTCTCACAGCGAGAGAGAGAGAGAGAAACAGAGCATTATCGGTGTGCAAAAACACACTTCGGCTGTGCGGCCTGTGTATTGACCGTAATCCCATCGAAGCCTAAGCGATTGAAACGAATAAATATAGCGTGCGCTCGAGCATTCTTTTCATTAGTCGTGTATCACTCACACTTTACAACACGGTGTTCTTACCCAACAGAGAAAAAAAGAAAAATTCAGTTCAGTTTGTGCTTTCGTTTGGAACACACTCTTCATTTTGTGAAAAGTCTTGTCTATTATTGATGGACACAATTTTTTTTTTATCTTTTCTGACGCGATATAAATCGTCGCAGTGATCGACATCATAGAAAATAAAGAGTTATAAATTTTGCTGAGCAAAAAAAAAGAATTAAAAGTGTTAATTGAAAAATAAAACTGAAAAAAGTGTGAAGCGACGCTAGCACATCAAATGGTAATAATCCAATTAATAATAATTCGTGCCACATAGTTCTAGTGCATTGAAGCATAACAGCCAAAAAATTTTGTTGAACGATGACAAATTCGAGAAAAAAAATATAGACTTTCATCTCTGAGAGCACGCGTTGGCTGCAGTGTTCGGTGTTAGTCACTCGACTCAACCGAGTGGAACACCTGTATATCGACCGAGGAAAGAGATGTCACACGTTTATTGACTTCAACATATAAATAAATAGATTGTCATTGTTGAATGAATTTTTTTTGGACGCTATAAAAATATATCATCATTAATCAGTTGGTCGTTGAGTCAGAAATCGTGATGCGCGTAACGGGTTTTATCCATTTCGTGTTGATTTGTGAGAGCGGTTCAAGTGTCAAAATCATTCTGGTATTTATAGCCATGTGTGCGTAAGAATTTTGGGCCGCAAATTTGAAATTGCCAGTATTTTTCCACGCATTGAATCCATCTGTTCAAGTGATTCGATGATGTTTCTTAGGAAATTCGCGGAAAACGAGTCTTTAATGTTTGATTCAAAGCCATTGTAAATGACACTCTGTTGATACAAGCATTTATGACTGCTCGTTTTTCCACCGTTAATCGCATAAAGGTAGTCAAGCGGCGAAATCTTCCTAAATAAAACCATAAAGCTGTTCATCCAATAAATCTTCAAGACGAATAATCATATATAATAAACTGTCTAAATACGTTTTCTTATCGTATTTGCACTCATTGCCAAGCCGTCTAACGTGTTGATTTATGACAATCGCACCGAAACATTTCAAAATTTCTCTACAATTTACTATTGTGCTAGATCACCTAAACATATTGTTTTGTATTTCACTTGTCACTTCGTTGACAATCGCTGTTTTTTTTCTATTTTTCTATTAAACTGAGAGTCTTAGACTGTGACTGGTTTTTTTTTTAAACGTAAATAGAAATATTTCAACCAAGAAATGTTATTTTGATAGCATTTCCTAAGCCAATGTCTCCGCATTTGTTTGGCTTGCATTTTTTCTAGCAATTAAATTTGCACATTCAACTACATTTTTTCATGAATTTTATTTCCCATGTTTCACTTCTCAATCGTTTGACATTTACATGCTACCTGAGTTCAAATAGCCAAACAAACCGCTTTTCAATAAGAAAAAATGACTCGGCGTCCAATTAGAGAAACCCGTTTGAGAAAGTCATTTGCATTGATCGACGTACTTTCGATGAATTGTCTCTCATTATTGTCTGTGTAACATTTTTTTTTTTCATTCATTCTGTCTGATTTTTTTCTGCATTCGCCGGCAGTCAAAGTCCTGGTTCACCTTGGTTTGGCAAATAATTTATTCTTTTTTAAATGCAAATTTTTATTCGTATAAAACCCGTAACTTTATAATTCATTTCTTTTGAAACAGTCTCGTGCGATCGAATTGGAGGAAAAATATTGAAAAAAAAAACAATCCGCAAACTATTATGATTGAAGCGAGTTTGAATTGGTTATCTCACCAGTTTCCTTGACACTAGTTAAAATTTTGCGTGTTTTTTCTCTCTCGCCATAATTCAAGTGACTTTTCTAATCAACCGTTCCGATTCCATGCTAATAAAACACAAATCAAATGAAATCCATTTTATCGACATAGTTATCGTTTAGCTCCCTTGAATTGCTCGTATTCTCTGACACAATTGCGCCGTTTTTCACAATTCACCCACTTCGAGCTGCGTATCTCAAAGCCGACAATACTCGTGATTTCGCTTGCGATTGATTAAATAATCGATTGGCTTTTTTATCTTAATCCGCGGTGGATCCGATAACGGTTATATATCGTCACTGTTCATTAATTTATACATCGTGCTGCAAAAAACTTAACTCTTCCGCTTTTTTCACTGGGTAGAATTATACATACAATTTCACACGTTATTTTTTTTTTTTATCTCAATTGAAGAATCACAACAGAAACAATCACATACAACAATCAAAATCAACTCGTAACAAAAAACTTAGCAAAAATTTGCCGAGAAGATCGTGAATTATTTTTATGATTTGATTGAATTTGCGCAGTTACAAAAAAGTACAGCAAGAAAAGGAGCAGCTACATGTATGTAGCAAATATTCAATTTTTATTCAAAAATTAATATTGATATAAAACGAAGCCCATTTTCACAGCTGTTAACCATCAAACAATAACATTAGTTTCCTTTTTATTGCGGCATTTTCATTCTCGTCTCGAATTAGTAATAAAAGCCGTTCATTTAATAGCCAGAAAATGATCGGTAAACACGACGATTGCATGCATTTGTATAACTCAAGCAAAACTACTGAGAAAAAAAATGAAACGTAATGAAACGTGGCGACAAAAAAAATTGAATGTCATGAACATGCACCGAGACAGAAAGCATGTCTGCACCATTTTTATTTATCTCAGTCGAATGAAAAATAAATCACACAACTGTCATTAAATACGAATTGGTTGAAATTCTGTAGCCTTCAAATTTTGCATTTTATTTTTACAAGATTTGTTTCGTTGCACGATCATTCGTTCTATTGATTTCATTTGTAGGCATTCCATAGTCCATTTGAAAGAACCAAAAAAAGCCGAATAAATTTGCAAGTTGAATTATCATCATTCTGTGGCTTTGCTAATTCATTGGTTTTATAATTAACACGAATGACGTTAATTGTGGACTTCGGCAGTCGGCACGCATTCATCTCTTTCATTTTGTTACAATGCGATACATTTTTGTTCCTTTCTTTTCATTTCTCTGTACTTTGTTGTTCGCCCCGATTGATCATTAATCATTTTGTGCATTCTTTGCATTCCAACGATGTCTCAACGAATTTGAAAGCGATTCTATTCTGAGGTGTCGTTTCATTCAAACACATAAAAATGTGCTGAACAAACACAAGACAGAAAAAATAACAAATTTTTAAAAGAAGAAACATTCCTGCAAAGCGAAAGAGATTCGTTTGATTTCTTTTCAATTTAAAACTAAATAAAAACAACAGAAATTCTGATTCAAGCAAATAGTGGCTGTTCAAATTTAAACTAGCATCTAAACATTGACATTTTTATTTGCACCGTGATTCAGGCCCACTTTTTCTCTTCGGTTTTGTGATAGAGCGCGATCCGATTAGCGACACCGTCGCTACCGTACGTACCGTTAACCGCGTGGAACTCACACCGATTTCATGCATTATTCAATGGCACTGAATTGAATTAGTATAAAGCCGCTCTCAGCTGAGCGTCGCGTGAGCGCGCATACGGTGTGTGTGTGTCTTTTCGTTTTGCATATGCGCCAAACCACGCTCTTTCTATATTTACGAAGAAAATCCATTCGGAGCACGTGCCACGAGCCGAGTGACTTGTCTATTGTCGACAGGCGATTTTCTTGTCGCGCAACATTTACTCAATTGCAGATCGACGCACCGAATTCGTGATGCATGCGCTTTTCTTCTTCTTCGTCGATTAAAAACAGAAACTCAAGTCATCCAAATCTCATGTTGTGTCGTCACATTCGCTTGTTCGTTGGCTCTGTGCCATTTGCTACATTCGGTTTGTTTCAGTTACGACGAACATTTGTTTTCACACTGATCGGATCGAATGTTTATATTCTAATATTAGAGCAGAGACGGAAGTGAGTCCGTTGGTATTCTAACGCCACACTATCATTCAGGATAGTTTGAGAAAGAGTCATAAACGATGTTTGCGCAAGGTTTATTTTTGAACACATTTTTGGCTTAATTCGAACCGTTAGGTTGTTCTTTTCTCTCTCTCTCTCTCTCTCTCTCTCTCTCTCTCTCTCTCTCTCTTTCGTACCCTTTCAGCATTACTTTGCCCACATTTGCAATTAGTTTTGCAATTTAACGCGACTCTTCCACTGATGCAACATCAAAAACTTTTCCATTGGACGTTTTCCTTTGGACAGGGAGAGAGAGCTAAAAATATGTGTATACATAATTCATGATCATGACCACGGCATTGAAAGTGGATGCGTTAGCAACTAGTAATACACTTTTGGTCACAATTCAATGGCCTTTACGCAAAAAACAACAAACCCTAGGGAAATTCAAACGAGTCGTATTTGAAGTGCCACGCACAATTCTTTTATTAGTTCAATCGTATGTCAACACCGCAAAACCGACCACCGATCACTTATTCCGTTTACATATTTTAATTTCAGTCACACGAAACACGTTCAATTAATTCCGTTTGCAATTTCGGAAGTAAGATTTTGGTCGATATAATTGTCATGTGCACGCGCAAAGCACGAGCATGCGTGCAATTACGTCAAGTCATTTCGTGTCCATTGTTCTTTATCAATTAGAATTAAGTGTTATATGAATTGAACATTTCCTGCAAATTGCTTAAATTGGCGCGCAAGCGTGCTCATCTGCTTACTGACTTTTTCTACTATGAATATAAATTGTTGTGTTTGCAAAATCATGAGCATAATTCATAATTTCATAAATTGAAAATTCGTCGTTTGATATCACCATACAATACAAATTGGATTGTGTACTGAATAGTTACACGCTCCTGACGCAATTGCCACATAACAACCGAATTGGTAATGTAGTTTAAACGACAACATCAATTTAAAGCTCAGAATTACGGAAAATTTTCCATCAATAATAAATGATTCAGGCGCAAGTGTTGTGATAAAATTGCGTTCTGTATAATTAATTCACTTTTTACATTACGATATTAGTCACAGATGTGTTTTTCTTATCGGAAATTTTAGTCCAGTTTTTTTTAGAGCAAAAATACGATGAAAGCAGTCAGTTTGCTTGCACAAACAAAGATACTAATCGTTTTCATCTACTTTTTCCCACCAGATCAATTGAATTTGTGGAATTTGAAACAGTAAAACTATACTTCGATATCCAAAGCTACACTAGCTACTAAAGATGAGTAAGCAACAAAACAAAATGGAATTGGCTGAAAAGACGGCGGGAAGCAATTATACACTGAACAATGGCTTCTTGGGAGGTAAGAAACAATTGAGTTTAATATCAGCATCCTAAAAAAATAGATGAGCATAGAATTGTGAACGATAACGGTTGCTTTACCAACGATGAATATTTCCGTTTTTTAATCCGAATCATTCTCTCCAATACCTAGAAATGTCATCACGATTGCAAATTTTGGACTGTGAAAATGGCCGCAGCAATGGCAAACCGATGAAGAAGCAATACGACCGAAGTGGCCATGAGACTGGCGGCGGTGGCGCTGGCGGTCATGGCATCCAATCTGATCATCCAACGTCGTAAGTAATCATTTTTTTTTTCATTGATTTGTTCATGGATATTTCAAGCAGAACTTTTTGTAATAATTTTAATGGGATTCGTTGAAATTTTCAGATATGTTGAAACCCTCATGCACTTGCTACGTGGAAATATTGGAGCGGGCGTGTTTGGCATGGGTAGTGCTTTCAAAAATGGTGGTATTGTATTGGCACCGTCGCTCACCATCTTGATCGGATTGATTGCAGTGCATTGTCAACATGTGTTGGTGAGTGAATACAAACGATTTCCTGGTAAAAAACAAAATGTTCATTGAAACGATAGCGAACAAATATCAATATTGGTTTTAAATGTGCAAAAATTTCGATTGTGAATGACAAAATTAACTGTTCGATTTCATCGTTCCAACAGATCACCTGTGCGAAGAGGATGCGTGCAATTCAGTGCAATACATCGGAAAAGATTGAGGAAATCGAAGATCCCGATTATGCTCAAACGGTTGAACTCTGCTTTATAAATGGACCACCTAGGCTGCGTAAATGGTCGAGATTCTTTAAACTCCTCATTAACATCTTCATTAGCGTGACACAAATGGGTTTTTGCTGTATTTACATTGTGTTCGTTTCGACAAATTTCGAGCAGGTTAGTACCACTTCTGTTATTCCTCTTCCTCTTCTTCTTCTTCTTCTTCTTCTTCTTTAATTCAAAAGCGAGTAAAATATGCTGTTGTTTAAATCAGGAAATCAGAACAAAATAAAATAATTGATAAAAAAAAATTCATTCAACAAAATTTTCTTGTTTTGAATTACAGCTCTGGAATGCGTACGTGCCCAGCTATGAATATAATTACCTCGTGAAGTTTGGTCTGGTCTTGTTCCCAGTTCTGGCCATTTCGATGATAACCGAGCTCAAGTATTTGGCACCATTGTCAACAATTGCAAATATCTGCATGGCCGCCGGTGTTGCGTTGACATTCTTCTTTGCTTTCCAAGATTTACCCGATATCTCTGAACGCACCTACGTTGGTGAACTGAAGAATATGCCGCTGTTCTTTGGCACGGCTATTTTCGCATTTGAGGGTATCGCTTTAGTGCTGCCATTAAAGAATGCCATGAAAAAACCGAAATTATTTGCCCGCCCATCGGGTGTTCTTAATATTGGCATGGTCTTCGTCGCTTCTTTGTTCATCTTGATGGGATTCATGAGCTACTGGAAATGGGGAGAAGCTGTTGAAGGAACAGTCACTATTAATTTGCCAAATGATGATCCGTAAGTTTCTCTTCGAGCATCAGAACATTCAAATTTGCTTTTACTATTGATTCTAACCTGATTCGATTTTTATGCACAGATTGGCCCAAACCGTAAAATTCATGGTTTCACTTGGTTTGCTGATGACTTATCCGTTACAATTCTTTGTTGCAATCCAAATCATGTGGCCACCCATTGAAGAGAAATTCGGCCCATTGAAGCATCCGCTCACCTCCCAACTCTTTTTCAGAGCTCTTTTGGTTCTTTTGACATGTAAGTATCTGGGTATGACTGAATGGTTTCTTATTTTGCTGCAATAATGGATCTTATGCGCCATGAAAAAGTGAATTGAATTTATGATCAACGATTAATCTCTATTTTTTTCGATCACATTTTTAGATTCTTTGGGCGAAGTGGTGCCAGCGCTGGACGCATTCATTTCATTGATTGGTGCTCTTGGTTCAACTGGGTTGGCGTTGATCGTCCCAGCTGTGATTGAATTGGTGTGTGCTTCGGGAACATCGAGCGGAATAAGCGGAGTGTTGCTTACAAAGAATTCCATCATTTTGGTAGTAGCCATGTTTGGTCTCGTCACTGGAACATATGAAAGTTTACACAAACTTGTCGATGCCTTCTTTGGACACAAGGGAAGCAGTTAAAGTGATACGAGTTCGTCTTAACTCGCTCGATGTTGTTTTTTCGCTGTTATTTGTAAATCGTTGTTTAGCTCAACTAAGAAGACATTGGAAGTGATTAGTGGATAAATCGTGTGATATCCGATAGATAGGAAAATATTGCCTCAACGAATAGGACAAATTGTCCACAGACAATAAAACATCCATTGAATCACTTTTCGAGGGGACATGAGCTACATGAAAAATCACAAGTGATCTTCATTCATTTGCCATCAAACAAAACATTCAATTCACCATTCACCATTTTGCCAAATTATCGATTTTCAAACCGAATTCGTTTTGCTCGATCGCAAGTCATATGTATGGTGATATTAGTACCTTATTTATGAACAGAATAGGCAATAAGCATTAGATTTACCAATCGGAAACAAAAATTACTTTTTAAGTGACAAATTGAACCAAAACAAAAAACAAAATCCCTAACAGAATTTATAAGCATGAGTTAAGACATTATTTTAGTTGAAATTGTTCCAAGTCCTGAATTAGTCGTTTAAGTGTAGCATGAAATGGTCAAGTTATTTTTTAACATTTTATTGTATTTTAAAACATGAACAATTAAAAACAAAAACAATTTTAAAAACATTCTAAATGATGAAATCTGAACTAAAAATAGAAGAAACGTCGTGAAAATCCTCGTAAATAGTTTTGGTTGGATTTCACTTCCTAGAAGTATTGAATTGAGTTGAGTTGAATTAGATTTCGTTTAACCCTTGATGAACTCTGTGTCATCTGTTCAACAACATACTGTCATTACAACATGACAAAAGGATATTAGAACACACAAGAGAAAAAATAACGTGCGCATTTTCATATGTATGTGTTAGTGTTGCGTCAATACGCAATAATTTGGTTGGAATATACGAATCAAGTAAAAATGGTTTCGAAAAATATGGTAAAAATCAAAGATTTCGTTCAAGTTCAATTTAAAGAGGATTTGTTTTTAGAATAGAAATGAAAAATTATCAACATTTAGTTAAGAAATCAACTGAATTGACTCTCAATTTTCCTCTAATTTATTTCTTTAAATCAATCATAAAATTGCACTTGAGCCCGGAATGACAGTTAAGCAATACTTACGAAATCAAAGAAAGAATATCTCTCAATCAAGTAAACACTCTCAGCTTATACAAACCTAATTGTCGAATGTCCCCTGAAAATTAATTTTCAAACAGTTTTATCGAATTAAATTTCATTCCAGTTTCAAAAAGCCAGTTTCAATGATCAAAAGGTTCAAGCTATTGTGTTTTATTTTCTAGAGAAATAGACGTACAGAAAATGAATTTATGTATTTGTGAAGGGATTCTCCTTCAATCCAATATTTCCCTACATAATAATATTCTGAGTAAAATACACAATATTTGCTATTGCTGACATTGCAGTGAAACATGATTGAACATTTCATCGTCAGTTTTTTCTTTCTTATCAGCAGATTCATATTTTATTTCAAAATCCGTATAAATTCGAACGGACCATATTCATATCGTAATCTTGTACCATGCCATTTATCGTTTAAGTGAGCCTGTATATCAGGAATATCGATATCACGACCGTCTATCAAACGAAAAGTCATTTTTTTCAGTGATTTCTTTTCGTTCATAAACCGAGCAATGTCATGAATTGAATAAGCGCTTCTCGTATCGAATTCTTCCAGCAATGGCAACATGTTCATTAATCCCAATAAATCCACCTCATACAACCACGTTCCAAGTTTTTTTTTAGATGGATGCTCTCTGAAGAAATCGTAAAAGTCTTCTTCATGTCTTAAAGATTCAATTGCTTGAAAACTAATATCAAATTCCTCTAGTTTATCAAATGAAAATGGTAATCCCCTGAAGCTATATGGGAAGTAAATAATTTCAAATCGTCTTACAGTTGCAAAATGAAATTTCTCAACTCCAAAAGGTTTTTTGTAAATAGATTCGTGTAACCTTAAAACTTGGAGATTTGGAAGAATTTCGTTCATGCAATGATGCAAACTAGCTGTATGTGATATACGTAAAGCATTTATGTCACAACTAACAGCGCCATCTAACATCGTAATGGAATTATTCCAATGGATATTTCTTTTTTTATTAGCGAATATTCACTTAAAAAGTGTAAAAAATAAAAATTGATAGATCAATATGTAGAAACTTTTAATTTGTGTGGGATTAATATTTTAATATTGTAGAGAAAAATTTAAAATTGAAATTATTACTTAGTCACTTCACTTGTGTACAAAAGTTCAAGATTTTGTGCTTTGGGTAAAGCTATTGAATGAACGTTAGCAACTTCATGTATGTTTACATTCGATGACAGCTGTCAGTGATACATTGAAATATTTACGGGGTTATAACGTAAATGATGTTTCCACTCGCGAACAATATTTATATAGTAATGTTTTCATAAATTAAATATTCCTGTGGCATAATAATAATTCCAGACATGGATTTTAATCTGTTAAAAGTACGGTGATACTGACTGACTCAATAAACCGACTGACTCAGTAAACCACGGTTTGCAATGACGTTTAACAAATGAAGAAATGAATTTTATGATATTCTATCATTTTTGCAAGTATGCGATGAAAATTGTGTGAAAAAGATGCACAAAATATGTTGTAAGTGCTGTTTGTGGTAATCAAACATGAAAATGTTCGTGATCTAAACAATACCAACGATGAATTTTTCATGCCGCAAAAGAACGGCAACCTAACCTCCAAAGTTTAGCGGCTCTATGATTGCACCGACTCAATCAAAATATTTCATACTGCGCATTTTTTTCTCATTAATTTGAAGAAAATTTTTATTTGACCAAATTATTTTCATGAAACAAACTCATTAAAAAGTCAGGTTTATATTTTTATATAAAACATATTCGAAAAAACAATGGGAGATTTATGCCTTGGGCGTTAGCACTACAAATTCCTCCAATGAATTTCCTTAGTTTCGGTTTAATGAGTCATAGATATGGTTTATCGAGTAAGTCGTCAGTCGCATATCAATAATTGTTGTGAATCCAATAAAAATCAGAATTATAGAAATAAACTGAAATAATCATTGATTTCTTATGAATTTCCTTTTTTACCTTATCAATTGGATACTTATGGTTTGGGCGTTAG